AAAGTATAAGACGAAAAAAATATATACTATCTTATAAAATAAATTCACGAAAGTTTTAAATGTAGATTATAATACATAAAATACTGTTTATTAGTGTATAAAGTGTTATTAAGAGATAGTTTGGAAATTGCTGAATGGTTTGGTACCAAATGATTAAAAAAAACTCTCATGATATAATACAAAATGAAATATAATTATTTAATAATTATTTGTAACGAAATTAGGGTGTTGAATGATTAAGGGATGTCCATGATATAAAATCATTTAAAGGGTTTTAAAATCATTATAAGACAGATTATTTTTACCAAACAAGATCCACCTTTTCACGATTCTAATATTATCTTCTAATAAAACTATTAAAAGATAAACAAACAATCTCTAAATCTTAATCACAAAAGATAGAGCATAATGTACCATTTGTAATAATAATATAACAATTGATTGGTCAATATTATTGGCTAGTGAGAGTTGTACTTTAGGGGGGGAGTTAGACATAATAAGGGTACAACATCTTAATGCATGAATGTGTGTTCCCCATCAATAGGTGCATAGGGTGGTCGTAGTAGGCTTTAGGACTGTATTTACTTTTTATCATTAATGAACACATTTAAACTCATTCAAATATTTTTTGCTTTCACCTTTTTTTTATATAAATAAATCTTAAGTTGACTTTTACGTCATATTTTATGTGTCTTCCATTAATTTAAATTATACATCCAGGTAAAATTGAAGTCTGAAGTTTTATTTCACTTTCGATTGTTAAGAGATAATGTTCAAGTTTGAAATCTGAATAAATAAGACTGTTTGTTTGTATAAACCGACAAATGTCTGAAGTCTTAAATCCGAATAAGATATTTTGTCATATACAACATGGGTTTATATAGCTAAGATGTAACATGATACATTCATAAAATATGATCTAATATGAAGCTTCAAAGATTTGCGGTCAACTTATCTATGCTATATTATAAAGTATTTGACAAAAAAATTAAAAATAATTTTTTATGCATGAAATAATGTTTATTGATGCACATTACTTAAAATTTAAGATTACGAGTAAATTGTACATAAGTACAACTTATGAAACCTTCATTTTTTAATTTGTGTAACTAACTACAGATAAACATAATCATATACAGAATAAATATCACATTCTAAATATAAAAAATATAAAAAAATATAATCATTAAGTTCTTAACATAATATTTAATTATTGTCTTTATAAAAAAATGATATTATTAAA